GCGGAGCGCGACGCAAGGGTGAGTTGACTAGACGGATGACGCCTACTATACTGGCAACAGCGGTAACATCAGTAACGGCGGTAATGTATGACCAATAAAAGATAGAAAGAAAATTCAAAAAAATTATTCAAAATAGATATAAAAGGCAAAAGAGAAACCGTGGCGTAGTCACTGACCTATTATTAGCAGCTGGCTTTTAGCTTTTCCACCGCCTTCACCCATTTCAGGATCATCTGCTTTGTATGCGTCTAATTTTTGTTGTACAAGTTGGGCAAGGTCGAAGTTAAGTTCAAACTCGGCACGATATCTAAAATCACTTTTACCTCTTAAAAATGGCTCTAACTCGATCGGAAGATAAGGCAATCACCGTATAGTCGGGTACTCCTTCAGTGTAGAGCAAACACTCGCCAATTTTTCAGCGATTAACTCGAGATCACTTTGGTTTTTGGAAAAGATCATATCAGAACCCAACGAGAAAACCTGTAAAAATACATTTTGACTTCCAAAAAACGGCAAAACAACGTCATTTACCTGACTCTCATAAGGAATAAAGCCAATATTGATTTCTTTCAATGTTTTGATATGATGGGCTACAGAATTGTGAGACAGCTTCGAAAAAAGATCTTCGGGACATGTCGCTGTGAAGAAAACATGGGCGCATTTATACTGACTTCGCCCGGCATAGTCGCTAATGAGGCAGTCGATCTAGAATCTTCATTAAACAATAGAAATGAAGGATAGAAATTACTTGCTCACCGATTCACTAGTCGGCTCTATGATGTAGATCGCTTCTAGGCTAGGGAGTGGTTCCCTTCGTTTTGTTAAGTCTTCGACTATGGTGATGCCATCTGGAAAATACAGCTGGAGTTCAAACAATCATCAAAGTTCGGATAAAAAATGTGAAGAACTATAAAGAAGATAAAACAAAATGAACCCATGAAAATATTTTAAAAACACTGTCCACATCAGTCGAGGATTGTCAGATTTTGATGCTCTGTAATAGCGGGGCCGGCCCGTAATGATAATCGCCAAACTCCGCTGCAAAAGATGAACTCCAAAACGAGAAAATCGCTACAAAACGTGAAAGCGGCCAAGGAAGCTCCGCCCATCAACATGGATGGTTTGAAGTTAATGAGCGCAAAAAAGCTCTAGAGGGTAGATAGTGCCGAAAAACTGGTAACATGAAGAGAGCATTTGTGACATTCTACATTAGGGCGCAATTTTGAATTTGTAGTCTTCATACTACCCACGTTATGTGGGCGGAGCCAGCGTGGCCGATTCTACCTTCTGGAGCAGTTTTCTCGCTTTAGAATTAATCATTTGCAG